AAATATAGATACCCTGAAATACCTGTCGCGGGGCAGTTAATCATAAGGCCGCTCCAAAGAGAAAAGACCGAGGAAGAGTGTTGAGGAGGAAGATCTTCAGGAGGCAGAAGACGTGGTGGTGGAAGAGAGAGACAAGGACAAAGAAGGTGCGAAGAAGGAAGAGCGAGAGGAGGAAGTGTGTTAGGTGAAATGTGTTTTTCTCTCTCCTGCTTTCCCTCCGTCCTTCTTGCGCGTGTGCAACCGTGTTGAGATCTTTAAAAGAAATGGAGCGATCTTCATAACAAATGGAGCGTTTACTTAGGTCGGGCGTTACGAAAGGAGGGCTGCCGGTCGAGGGAGGAAGGGGCAGGTGGGGAGTATGACGGAGGGAGGAATGGAAGAAGCAGGTCACCTGGTGATCGGGCTGAGGAAGGAAGGGGAGGAAGGAGATCAGGGGAAAGAGGTCAGACAGAGATCGGGCGAATGAAGGGGGCGGATGAAGGGGAATGAGGGGCCCAAGCGGACAGAGGCCAGAGGGAGGTTGAAGAGAAGGTGCGGAGGGGCCCAGTAGGCAGGGGAAAGGCGGCAGAGAGTAGGGCGGAAGCAGGAGTTCAAGTGGAGATCGCGCAAAGAAAGGAAGGGGAGGAAGGACATTGGGGGAAGGAGGAGGTCAGTGCAAATCGGGCGGAGGAAGGAAGAGGACGGAGGAGATAGAGGGAAGGAGGTCAGGCGGAGATTGGCCGAAGGAAGGGGAGTGAGGTGGCCAGGTGAAGCGAGGGCAGAGGGAGGTTTAAGACAAGGTCCAAAGGAGACCGGGAGAAAAGGGAGGCGGCAGGGAGAAGTAGGCCGGAGGGAGGACAGAGCAGAACGTGGTTTAAAGGTTGAGTGACGTATGGATGAAGGGAAGAGGTAAGGGGGAGATGAGCATGGGAAAATGTGTGAAGAGGACAAGGAGGGGAAAGACGGCAGGGTGAAGTCGGGCGGAGGGAGGGCAGATGGAAGGAGGAGGGCGGCGAGAGGTTGGGTGGGGTACGGAGCAAGGGAAGAGGTCAGCCAAAGGTGGAGAGAGAGAGAGAGAGAGAGACACAGAGAGAGAGAGAGAGAGAGAGAGAGAGAGAGAGAGAGAGAGAGAGAGAGAGAGAGAGAGAGAGGCATACACAAATGGATTTCTTGGAGAACGAGAGTAAAGAGGGGCGCGTGAGAATTGGGGTAAGAAGGGGAGAGAAGGGCAGCAGAAGCCACAGTAGGACGGGGGAGGAAAGAATTTGAAGAGGCGCAGAGCGATACCGCGGGTGGAGTTGGAGGAAGAGGAGGAGGGGGCGCATGGCACAAAGTCACGCGAGGGAAGGGAGAGTCGAGGGGTAAGGATGGTACAGTGACAAAGGGAAGAGCGAGAGGGATAGCGGTACATGTCATGGATGGGGGAAAGATGGGGGGATGGGGAAGAGGGGCAGG